CAGATTGAGGTTTAAAGGGTACTGGTGAGAATCGGACATATGACTCTTTAAATGAAGGTTATTGATAATGATAATGATAATATGATAATGTATCGGTTTGTCCATTGTTAACAGAATTCTCCGTTTATTTTTAAAAACTACGGTTCGTTAACAGAACATTGCCCAGCCCTATTTGGTAGAAAATCTATATTTGGAAATACAGGTCGTTAATAAATTACCATGTTTACAGAACAGGTAGTAAAGAACCAGCACTGACGCTGACTGGCTGGAAAGGACTAATCATACAGCTGCAAATAGGTGTACATTTCAAAGTTATCAATCAATCAACCTGTATAAGTTGGGTCATTACATATATTGTGCACATTAAATCATACAGCTGCAAATAGGTGTACATTTCAAAGTTATCAATCAATCAACCTGTATAAGTTGGGTCATTACATATATTGTGCACATTATTGCATGACCCGACAGCAATTATACTTTTGGAGAAAATAGGAATTTGGGGAATTCCCGAGATTCCCAGAAATCTGGTGATTTTCCCAGATTCCTAGGTATTTGAAAATTTTTCCAGATTCCAAGGCATTCGGGAAATTCCCGACGGGAATTTACGGAAAACTAAGAAATTCCCTGCAAATTTCGAGGTATTTGGGAAATTTCCCAGAAACCCAGAGATTTGGGAAATTTCCCAGATAGCCAGACATTTGGGAAATTTACCAGATACCCAGGCCTCTGGGAAATTTCTCAGATTCACAGGCATATTTGGGGAATTCTCGCAATTTCCCGAATTTCTACAGGCATTTGAGTGCGGTACATTAAGATTTTGGAAACTTGTTAAAATGACTGGATATTTGGCGAATTCCCCAAGCCTCTGGAAATTTGTGAAATTTCACAAATAGCTATACATTTGAGAAATTTCTATAATTACCCCTTAGATTCCCTCAGGAATTTGGGAAAATTCCAAGATACCCAGGCACTGGGAATTTTCTCAGATTCCTAGGCAGTTAAAGTCGAGTTTAAGGAATTACGGCTCGAGCCGAAGTTTTTAAATTAGGGGCTCAGGTGACGCTGACGCCATCACAGAGTTAGAATTTGAACATTTTGTTTTAATACATTTAAATTGACGATTATAATTATAATTAGAGGAATATTTCCGGTAGACTGTTTGGGGGAGGTTTGGAAACCCTATGGAGACATGCAATGCCTCAAATAGGTAAAATGAGGTTCGGAAGCTGTACGAGAAAGGTTACCTGCCCTCCCTCATGTATTCTGTGAACTTAAAATTTGGTTACAGCACTGCAAAAATATTTTTTGTTGTTGTGGTGGTGGAGGGGTTCTCCTTAAACCCCGAATTCAGAACAGAAAACTTATTTTGTTGAAGACTTGAAAAGTGTTATAGCTCTGAGTTCTAGCAAGCGGGAAATTATAAATAATTTGTTTAAAAAGTTAACAATATAGAATAATGTTCTACAATGTTAAATATCTATCTATCTATAATAGGGACCTTCCATGCACATATGGAAATGCCCAATTAACAATGGTACCCATCAGAATATTTAATTCTGATATTTCTGTAGTAAAAGTTACTTTCAAAGAGAAACAACAAAAAAAAATATTGGTTTATAATTCATACTCGATCTGACAAAAGCTGTTAAGGGTACAGTTGTAAACCAAGCATTGCTATCTATTGCTCGGAGGGTCACATGCAATTAGGCTAGCAGTCTCCTTAAGTTATTATTAAGAAATTGTAATATTAAAACTAATAAATTTTATCCTGAGGTTTCTAATTTCAAGATTATAGTTTCAGTTTGTGCATTGAACCAGATCTAGCTTCTTTCATTGGAGTGAATATATTTAAAATGTAAGTAAAACATATCACTGACGAGTGGGGGAAGACTTGCAGTCATGAGCCACCTCCGTTAGGTCTTCCATGCCATAACCTAACCTGTTCAGCTTCCGGCAATTATTACGTTTACATACTTTAAATTTTGTGAAATGAAATTGCGATTTTCAAAAATCAAGATGCATTACTCCTGCATGTTGCAAGGAAGACCAAACGGTTGTGGCTCATGTCCGCCTGCCTTCCCTTGCTTCACCGACCAGTCCAGTGATGGCCAAAGGAAAGGCCAAACTGGATATTTTGTTGGAAAGGGGTAGGGGAGGGATACTGTTATTTTGCGCCAATTTTTATTGGAAAAAGAAATTGAGATTTTAACAAACTCAAACATTTGTAATCCCGTTATTTTTGCAACCTGATGGTGTAAGCTTTTGATATTTCAAACTATGACTTATCTATCAAAATATCAAAGGTCTATGAGTACGACATCCAAAGAGAATAGAATATATATTAGAGGGGAATTTACTAGAAAAAATTGTAAAACGGCCATTTTGTTGTACTGTTTCCATACTGCAGGTGTACTTCACATATTTTTGCTATATAACCTTTAGGGCCCTGGAAAATCATTTTATAGAAAATCTAAAATTAATATTAAAAGAAAACCAAATTCTGAAATAGGCTGGTTTCATAATTGACCAATGATCATTCCACATAGACTCTTTGCCTTTTACTTTACAAACGATGATTTTCCGTTATAACTATAAATCAAATGATGTTTTTTATTCACCTAATTCATTATAAAGTTTATTTAACAGCTTTAAAAAATTCGAAATGGAAATGGATAGTCTAGGGAACATACTGTATTATTGTACTCTACTGCATATAATTTGTGAACATTTACATGATTTGTACACTTTGAACTCCCTTTCAGGCTTAAAAGGGACTGAAAAAATTCATAACGAGAGATTAAAGCTCTGAGTTTGTGGCAAACGCTCAGTTTCTTTCTAAGTAAACAAAAGGAATTTTCACTTTTTAACCACAATGTTTTGTTTTCTAAGGGTTTTCTGAACTTAACAAAAACATTGATTACATGCGTTAGAAATACTTTATTCAATATAGCATAATTTCTGAGGTTCAAAGAGGTTTATAGAGTGAGCTTACTTAAAAGAGGATTATATAATTATAATTAGGCATCGGAATAAAAATTGTCTTAAAAGTATAAAATAAAAAGTTGACAATTAAAATGTTTGCTATGTCCCAACAAGAGCGGAAAATGAAGGTTGTCTTAACCCTATTCCTGCTGGGGGGGGGGGTCAATTTGACCCCCCCCTTTTGTTTTTTTTTACAAAACTCAAAAAGTATTGGTCTGAGGCTGTTGAAATTTTCTGACTTTTCCTACATACCCAAAGCCCTCCCTTTAGGCCTAAAACAGGGCCTCAGGCACACTGCCTGAATGACTGCTTTTGCCTGTAACAAACTAAATCTTTGTTTTGACCCACTTCCACTTGTCAGATTTTGATAAAATTTAGCTTTTTGGAAAGCCTTTGACATAAGTTTTGCACAAGTTTTGCGAAAAAAAATTGCAAATTATTTGCAAACAACCTGTCAAAGAAAATTTGCACATTTTTAATTTTCTTGATTAAAAATCAGGTTATTTAAATTGTTTTTGCAAAATTTTTTGCATATTTGAAATAGCATGGTCAATGGGCTTTTCAAAAATGTATAAATTTTCATTTTTTGGACAAATTTTTTTTTTGCAAACATTTTTAATATATAACTGGATTTTGCGATAAAAAATTCAGTTTAGCAAATTTGCTAATTTTTTTGCAGATTCTAAAAGTAGAGCACAAGAGCTTTCCAATGATGTATCATTTGTCATATTTGGATATTAAACATGGGATTTAGAGATAGGGTTAAGAATTCACAAGTTTTCTTTTTTGCAATTTTTTCACCTATTTATTTTAATGATTAGGCTAAAGAATCGTGGTGCGTGTCTGTATCATGTTCAGATCATCTTGATAAATTTATTAGATGTAGATCCTGCTAACACTGTCATTAGGTTAGTCGGTAATTTCATAGAGAAGAATAGTTGCAACCTGATTTTCACAGTGCATCTCAAGAAAAATAGTTTCAAATTAAAAATTCAATATTTTTGTTAAAGTTATCGAACTAATTGATCCAAGTATAGAGGACGTGAGTCAGACTCTAATAAAAACGCATAAATAACTTCCAGTATATATATTTCTTATAACTTATTACTAGAGGGTTCAGAACTAGAGTCAATATTGATATTGCACGTGTAGACTGTAGATGATGATATCAGTACTATGCCCCGTATCCGTTCTATCTCATTCTGTTGAATCTTGTGGAACTAGTTTAACGCGGCCAGGCATCGTCTTCCACACAAGCTTATTAAATGTATTTCAATCTATTTTATTAAGTCTATGGTATTTTGATGGATCCTATTATTATCCTCTGGAGACTTCAAGGTATTTAATACAGTTTCCAGCGAAAGAAAACTTTCTTAAAAAACGTGCAAATTTTGCGAAAATTTTCTTTTGTATTTTTCAAAATTGTTTGCGAAATTTTTGCGTTTTTCCTTCATCTCATTAATATGTGTGGGTCTTCAATGCCAGTTTAAGGGTCTCCAATGGAAATATGGGTATCCGATGCAAATGTAAGGGTCTCCAATGCAATTGTAAGGGTCTCCGTTGCAAATGTAATGGTCTAATATCTGTTAAGGAGTTCCTTTAGTACTCCTTTGAATCAATTTATTTGTGGAAAGAAGATATCATTAGTAAAACAACAAATTATAAACTTAAATAGTTTTTTTCTAAAGATAATTTGTTTAGAAACGACGCATCCCAACAAGTTACAGGTATTTTTTTCAAATGTATTTTTCAAATATGTTTTCTTTTATTCAGGGTTTAGAAATTTAAGAGCTTAACATCTTCAATTTTTTTTGTTTGTTTTTCCATGAATCAGTGTAGCTAGTTACAAACATTTTTACTATATAACTGGATTTTGCGATAATAAAATTAAATTTTTGCAAATTTGCAATTTTTTTGCAGATTCTAAAAGTAGAGCACAAGAGCTTTCCAATGATGTATCATTTGTCATATTTGGACATCAAACATGGGATTTAGAGGGGGGCGGGGTCAAATTGACCCCACCCCAGCATATCCTGGTTTTCAAGTACCCCAGCAGAGATAGGGTTAAATGATTAGAATAATTTGGGGTTTTATTTACCTGAACTTTCTGAAATGGTTTTAAAAGTCCATTTGGATACATTGTCCATTAAATCATTTAGCCTTTTAATTTCTTCTGCACTACCACACAATGGAACATGAACAGAAGCATCATCAGAAAACCAATCAAGTTTGCATCCTGTCTTTTCAAAAATATACTCAAATACACAGTCTGTAAAACTGTACTCCTAAAGTAAAATGTTGAGTTTAATTGTTTTCAGATTACAAGGCTATTGCGCCCATCTTCTATTTTAACTTTTAATATTGCTCAATCTTTCAGAACTTTCTCTTCACTAAACCAATTAAAACATTTTGCGGATTTTCAAAATTTATGAAAAATCAAAGGTTTTTGGAAACAATTTTTTTGTAAATCTGAGGATCCCTAAACCTTCCCTGGGGTCATGTTAGTTCCCACACAAATTTTGGGCCCCATAGATTCAGGAGTTTGATGTTTATTAGATACAAACAAAGTTAAATAGATTCCTGATTAAAAACCTTTCCTTGTCTTCAATGCAATTAAATACTGCCGGGAGACGGGTTTCTATTTCACGCTCAAACTCAACCTGAACTTTAAAATATTAACATTTTAAGACTAAATTGGTTGGATGCACTTAAGGTTTAAATCCAAAGTGTTGTGAAAAGTTGCATCAGTTTTAAAGACTACTTTGAAATGTTGCAAGGCCTATAATTCTATGAATTTACCTCACCAATTCACGTTTATTTTTTAGAACTCTAATGCAGTTGTTTTTTGCTTTAGTATTTAAGTAGAAATTTGAAAAATTCTCATTGTTTTTTTGCATGAGAGTTAAGGAACCTTTGGATCACTGTGAAAAAAATACTTCTAGTATTGGTAGAAGCCCAAACGAGTTGCGCATGGCATGCCATATTAAATTACAAGACAGACAGAGAGTCTGTTTTAGCTGCAGTGGTGCACAGCCCACTATTCTGTCAGGGTTGCCAGGCTTGAAAAGAAGGACAAGGCTAAATTGAGAATATTTTAAGGCTACTTTTAGCCCTCTATAGGCTACTTATTGATGCCTAAATTTACTGTTTATTTACCTTGGTTCATACTAATTTATCACTAATTTAATCTTAAAATACTATTTACAAATTGAACGTACTCCAAAACAACAAATAAAAAGAACTAAGTTTTTTGTCTATATTAAAGAACCTTATTCTTTCATACTTAGACATACTATGATTAGAGATATTTGTTGTTTAATGTCGAGAATGTTTGTGCGGAGCTCCAAAGAAATTTATAAATTTTATTTGCTGAACTTTTATGTAAAAAGTATCAAAAAGGATGAAAAAATTTGCCAATTGATGAAAAGGCTACTTTTAGGCCAATAATTCTACAAAAAGTGGCCTTCTAGAAGGATACCTGGCAACCCTGTGTTCTGTCCTAGCCCTTAGCACACAACCTCCTGGTCTGTCCTAGTGGCAGCCTATGACCCAAGAAAGTGTCTTAATCTTACCTAACTCTAACAGCAATTGGGTGTAACTTTAGGCAACTGCCAAATTCTAAACACCTGAGCTGAACTTGGCCTGCATACTCACAGCAGAGTCAGACACTTTTGATTTTAAGTTTTAAAGAACTTAATTTATAATGAACCACCTACTCTGAGCACATATTTCTCACATCTGATTGGTCAATGATTCCAGAGATGAAGCTCTCATTGGTTAATTTGTTTCACCATTCATAACAAATCAACTAAAACTGAACGAAATTCTAAATATTGACCTTTATATATTCTCCCCGATTCAGTACTATTTTCTTTGCTTGTCCAATTCCACTTACATCAGAGGCCCAGAAATGCTTAAAAATTTTATCACGTTAATAAAATTTCAGTTTATTTAAAAAATTAAATAATTCATTACTCAGGCTGTGCGCCATTAAAAAGGAACAGTAGTTATTGTTCACACATCATTGACAATCAATTATTGTTAAAAATAATTTATATTTTTTATTAAAATAAATATGAAGGGGATACCACAAATGTCTAGGTATTTGGGAAATTCCTTAAATGTCTGGATATTTGGGGAATTTCCTAAATGTCTGGGTAGTGCCTAGGTTTTTGTGAAATTCACCAAATATCTATTCATTTGAGAAATTTCCAAAATCTTAAAATATACCACCTTCAAATATTCAAGTATTTGAGAAGTTTCCCAGATACCCAGGCTTTTGGGAAATTGTTCAGATACCCAGTCATTTGGGAAATGTCCCAAATTCCTATAGATGTTTGAGGTTTATTTAATAAAACTCCAGTACCTCCATGTATTTAATTAACACAGAAAACCTCCATGTATTTAATTAACACAAAGAACCTCCTTGTATTTTATTAACACAGATAACCCCCATGTATTATATTAACTCAGTTTTTTGAAGGCGGTATATTTTTAAGATTTTTGAAATATCTTAGATGACTGGATATTTGGGGAATTTACCAGTTATATGGGAAATTTCTGGAATTAGTAGTTATTTTGGATATTTTCCCAAAACCATGCTTAGGTCTGCTAGAAATTCCTATTTTTAACATTTTTGATAATTGCTGTCACTCTCAAAAACTAAACATACATTTTGAAACAGAACAATTTTGACAGCTACAAATAATCCAGATCAAGAGCCTCATTAAGAAACATCAATCGAATGATGCCAAATTTTAAGAACTTGCCCAGCACTTTTACCTTAGAGGAATGTAAATAGACATTAAATCCAAAAAACTCATGGAGACTTTGGTTCAGTGTGTTGTCTCCCAAGAACCCATAGAAGTGCCCAGGATGGTTAGGCAGATAGGTTTCATTTGGAGAATAGGTGTGGCAATGGCCTGCATCCCAAGGTTTAAAGTGAAAAATCCTTCTGTTCCATAAGCTGTCAAATGCAGAGCTAGCAATATATTCTGGTGCCTGCTGGTTTGGTAATTCCCCATTGCATGTTTCATCACAATAGCCCCATCCACCTTTACCCAGTGCTTAGGATCTAGGTCTAGTATTTATAGAAAAAAATATGGTTTAGATGGATTAAAACTATGAATATAATTTAGAATTTTATTAAATTGGGAGGGGAAATAGCACTCAAGGAATCATAATCAGTATTTATTATACAAGGATTTATATATTATTTTCTCTATGTCACAGAGGAAATTAATAATAATGCATCCAAAGTACTGCCTATAGCTGCTGATTTATTATCATAGACATGGAGAGCACACCAAGGCTTGGTATCATCAGTCATTGTGCAACTGTTCAAAGTTTGCATTTCTTGAGCATTAAATGAATCACAAAGTGCACTTCTTCCTGGATTAGTTGGATCCGTTAGGGCACAATCATAAAATGTATATGGGAAACTACACGGTCCAGTAATACTAAAAGGAGAACCAACAATATCGCATGGGAACTTTCTTAATTCACTCCTGTGCTGAACGAAATGAAAAATCTGATCTCTTGTTTGGGTATTTTCAATTGCCCACTTCTTCAAAGCCTCCGCCGACACATTTTTCCATTTATTTACTTGATCTATGATGGTCAAACTTGTGTCTTTGAATGTGTAAAGTTTGCAAAATGTAATTGCAGGAAATTCCACTTTTTCAAAATCAGCAACAGAACTGCAAGCAGTTGGGAATTAAATAAAAAAATGAATTATTTAAAAACTTGCCACATAACCTAATACTGGAGACAGAAGCCAGTGAGTAAATAGTAAAAACTCAGCTATGATTTTTAGAAAAATCTTTAAAAATTATTTGGTAAAAACACTCACCTGAACACTAAAGTTTTTTTTGCTAAAAATTTGTCAACAGATGTACTTCCTATATATAGATACAGTATAATAAGACATACTAGGATTCCTGTTCGAACAAAATGCTGAGCTCTCATTGTTTCTGCAACAATAAGTATTTAGGGCAGGGCAGGACCCTAACTGGGTGTTTAATAAAGGTTGGTTTGCAGATTTGCAGATGGGAAAAATACACAAATTTTGAAATTTTAGCTTGAATGTTATGTTTCCTACAATAGAACATTTTTATAATCTAGTTTTGGAACTGTGGTCAATGAAATCTGTAGCTTTTTTAAAGAAACTCATGGGTAGTGGGTACCCTGGAGGGAAAATGCTTTTGTGATTTTAGTTATTTAATTGATTTTTTTTAATTCAAATTTTTTATTTCCCAAGTGTTTTTGAAAATTCTATTATTAATTGCTGGGCACTTCAGCTAGTTGATTAATTAAAGAGATATTACAAAAATCCCCAAAAAATAATCAGTAAAAATCTGCATCAAATGTTACCAAATCTTACATTTGATATTTAACCTAAAATGGAGAATTTGTAAATAGTAAATACATCTATAGTTCGTTTCTGTAGTTTTGTGGGTTTAAATAAATAGATTTCATGCTAAACAATGAACCCTGCTTAATATTTTAGAGTTGAGTAAAACAATGCTAGTCCCCTTTTTGAAAAAAATCCTGACCACCAGGTTCCCCCCCCCCTGATATGGCCCTGTTTGCATTAATAATATCCAAGAGTTGCTTGAACTTCAATGGTTTTGAAAGAATTAAAGAAAATATGTTGTTATGAGGTCCAGCCTCTGGTTAATAAGTAAAAACAACTATATATATATAATAAGGGTGAGCCAGGGAGCGGCCACTCACCCCTGAAGCTAAATTGCTCACCCATAGGCTGAAATTATAGGGTTGAGAGAAAATTTTAAAATTCCAAAGTGATAAATAAGAACATAAGTTCTGAAAAATCGCTGTAGTGATTTTAATGGAGAAAGTAATCTTTTTTACATATTTATTCTTACTTATAGAGAAGGCAAATATTTTTGTAGTGTCCTAAAAATACAAAAATAAAAAATTCACTCTAGGGTTAAGCTTTATGGAAAACCTAGGACTCTTTTAATGTCTTGGATTGTTATATCAAGGTTAATTTGATGAATTTAACTAAATACAATCTGTGCAGTCTTCTCTGAAGTTTTATCATTTCAGAATTCAAAAATATATAGAATAGAAAAAAACATTTTCTACTTATCTAGTGTAAACTGTAGAAACAAACCTTTTCATTTGTCAATATGAATAAAGATTTATGAATTGCTCTCTAGTGTTCCCACTGCTTCCCCTATGGGTGAGCAAAAATTTGTCGGGATGAGCAAGAAATAAAAATTTGGAACTTCGCTCATCCCGGATAAATTCCTGTATCTAACCCTGGAAATTGACGCCACCAAAATTATTCACCCTGATGCAAAGTAGTAAAGAGTTTTTAATAAAGGAGGGCAGGGCTGGAAGATGTGAAGAAAGTAATAATTAAGTTCAGAAAGTAATTTTATCCTAAATCTTCCAATACTTTGCTCAATTTTGGCCTGATACAAATTGGTTGTTCTTCTGAAAGTGGGTTTGTTCATCCAATGTAGAACAGAATTATGTTTTTGGCAATGGGGGATAAGATGAGTAAATAAAATTCTAAAATCTCTATTTTTTAGGGTTGATATTAATTGACCAGACCAGATATTTTTTTAATTTTAATAATTTATTTTATTTAAATTTTACAATATTTTTAAATATTCATGTGATATCAGATGGAAATATTTGCGATTTCTATATTTCTTGTTCTTCATTTTTTTCTTGTTGGTCCATCCTTCAATCATACTTTGGCTAATTTTTATAATAAAAAGAAAGAATTTTGTTGGATGTCCTTGTAGTTTGCCGTGTTACAAGTAAGAACTATTTTTAAATGATCTTGCTTTTTTCTGAGCCATCAATTTGAATTTGCTGAGTATCTTGCTTTCTTTTTTCTGTACTCTGTATACTCTTGCATCTTAATTTTTTCTGAACTCTGGATTGAATCTTTTTTTATCTGGTCACACATCTGTTTTCTGTTTTTTTCTTTTAGATCTACACATTCTAATCCCTTGTAGACAAGGGAAAAATGCATTTTGACACATATCTCTGATTCATACTATTCTTTAATTTGATATCTTGGCGCCAGAAATATCAATATAAATATAATAGAAAGTTACTGTTTGTCAGGAGTAGATATCAGATGTGTTTGCAGTTTTAATATTTTTTTCTGATCTAGGAATGTCTTGACTCCACATATCTTATGTGTAGTGCAGTCTCAGCAGCAATTAAATACACTGTTCTAGGGTTTCTACGTAGGGTAGAATAATTTTAGAAGGGGGGGGGGGGTTGATGTCTCCTTCCCTTCCCTAATGTGGTCTATATTCGCTGTAGGAAAATATGGCAGTGTACAGCTTGACACTAGAGATTCCCTTCCATTTTTTCCTTTTCCAGTTAGATTTTCTTTTTCTTTTCATGTTCTTTATTTTCTTCTTTTTTCTTGTTTAGCTTGTTTTTGCACTTTAAGACCTTTCCAAATAGTTCTTATAACATCGAGTTGTGGAAAAGGTAGAGGAGAGAGTTTAGGAGATTTGTAGGAAGAAGGGTATAGGGAATTGCTTCCCTTGTTCCTTCATTTTATACTGTTTCCCATAATTATAAGGAAACTCATAACTGCACCCCTTATGCAAAATGAGGAGTTGTAAGCCCTGTAAAGCCCTCTTGAGGGGAATCTTCTTTAGCAGTCCAGTCCTTAGTCCATTCCTCACAGCCGATTGAGTAAAAAACCAGTATCATTGTGCATGTATACCTATCAGGGGCTAAATTACTTCGTTCATCTCCAGAAAGGAAAGTTTTAATCTATGTATATTTCTTGCTTCCCCTGTAGTAAACTATATGCGCAACTAAACACAGCGCTCTCCCGGCGGTAAGGCTGGGACCCATATAAGATAGGTCCTTTCTCTCTGAAGTCAATGAGGCAACTGACCAGACCAGATATAATTTACATCTTTAGATCCACAAGACTTATACATTTTGCACAGCATTCTTTTACTTTGTTACATTTACTTAACGTCATACTGTATTTGTTTTTGTTTGTTTGAAACCAATATTTTCCAAAAAGTGAAACAATCCTGTCAATTGTGTGCATACCTTAAAAGCATGAAACAATTTTTAAGTTCTAAGTTATCTTTACTAATTGCCTACATCCTCTACCCTTAATTATTGAGTAACTTTTTTGCAAACTATTTTTTACTTTTATCATAATTTTAAAAGACCCCATTGAACACTATGCATTGTGACACAAAACGTAGCACATCATTTTTGGGCTAGAAAAACACTGAATTTTTCATCGTCAACGTTCAGACAAAGGTTTAAAGGGTAGCCTCGTCAAAAAGACATAACAATCTACAAATGGAGGGTTACTGTAAATTATGTCTAGGAAACAGTTTGTTACAGTTTGTACAGATGGTTACAGATACTTATTTTTAAAATAGGTCTTATAAATTTAATAACCCTGAGCTGAAAACTTTAGAATGGTGGATATCGGGATTAATGCTTGATCCACTCTTTTTGATAATTATGGAAAACCTAGCACTCTTTTAATGNCAATCAGAGAAAAGCGGGCAACCAATGAGAGAACAGAAATATTCTCATTGGAGAAAACAATTAACGGATATCCAAGGAGAGAGAAAAAGAGTGGATTAGGACAAAAATGAAAAGTTTCCACAGTGGATATTAGGATCAAGAAGTCAGGATTAAAGTTTATCCATTCTAAAGTTTTCAGCTCAGGCGTCTGAAACCCAACTCCAATTCTGGTTTAAATTATTTCCTATAAACTCAGTAACCCACGCGTCTGAAAACTAACTCTGGAAAATTCTAGTTTAAATTATTTCCTATAACTCAATAACCCATGCCGATGCGTTTGTAAACCAACTCTGGAAAATTCTAGTTATTAAATTATTTCCTATTAAACGATCTTCGATAAAATTATAATTAGGTTTTCAATTGTCCAATAATCTAGATATTGGATTTTTATTGTAAATTGTGTATTTGATAATAAATATTGGTAACCGATGTTTTGATCATTACTTGAAAAATATAATGATATTTTTAATGAACAGTGAATGCTAATGGCTATGTTCGATCCAAGCTTTAAACTTTGTTAACACAACATTTCCTTTTTATTTTTAATAAGTTTTGGCCAAAAATACAGATAAAAAATTCAGTGGAACAGTTTGACTTAATTTGTTTTATTCCAATAATCTATACAAACATAAATAGCCAATTCGAATAAAATATCTAAATTTATAATTATTAATTACTACTTAACCGAAGGTTGAGGAGGCCCTTGGCTAAGTGGTTTTCTCCTCAATTTAATTATCCTCCCTTAATCTCCCGGTTAAGTAGTAATTAATAATTATTTATTCTCCTGTTCAACGAAATAACCAACCTTTAATTCCCTCCTTTTTTTATTTCCAGAAAGGATAATTACTTATCCTCCCTATTTACAGGAAGGATAATTACTTATCCTCCCTGTGATCCATACAAATTTATCAAATAAATAGTTCTCTAATTTTATTTTATATTTACATTTATCGCTCTCTCAATCAATTTTGAATAAAATAGTTTAAACAAGTAAACTACCCGTGCAGGCCCTATATCGTAGATTTTACGCAGACCCCGTCGAATGCGTTGATTTCTACGCTATCAAAATTTTAAAAAGGAATTTTTTTTAAATATGTTGAAACCCGATATTAGACGCCTCCATTTCCCCCCATACTGGATAAGTTAGTGCTGCAGACGTCCTGGACCTCTACCTCAGGCGAGTCAAGGAGGATTTGGGTCTTTACACTGGGCCCCTTTTGTGGACAGGAAATGGGATCTCATTCACCAAAACTCCTCTGGGAAAGAATATGGTCGGAAAAGTGCCTTCTGCACAGTGCACATCTCCATATTGATGAGCCAAAAAAGTATACATTCCATAGCTACAGGAGGTCGGCTGCTACAGCTGTAGCAGATGCCGGAGCTACATCTGACCAAATGCAAAACTTTTTTGGTTGGACAAATGCCAAAATGACCACGGAATATATTTCCACCAGCAAAGCAGCCATTATTAAGGTCGCCCAGAAGCTTCAGGATACTGAGACAAAGGACATCCTTGGCCATATGAATGTTGCTGAGAAAGCCTGCAAGGAGAGTTCAAAGCTTGCCAATGAGAGTGCAGAGGTCTCCCAAGAGAGTCAGGTTAGCGACTTTGGGGAACTCTGGGATGATTGGAACCCAACTGGAGAGGAGCTGAGCAGAGCAACCTCAGCTTATAGGGTTCCTATGAAGATAAAGTCTGGAGCTAAAGTTTTCTACATAAACAAAATCGAAAAATTCCATTGCAAAATGTAAACCAGGTGTTTTTTCTGTCAATAGACAATAAACATATTAAATGAAATCTTAATAGCAGGGTGATTAAGTTACTTTTATCTTGTTTTTGGGACAAAAAATGAACGTGTTTGGACAGAAAATTATTTTTTTGGTAAAAAAATAACCTTTTGAATTATGTAAAAAAACCCGCAAAATATTACTTAATATTAATTCTGTATTTTTCGCAAAATTTTGTTTTTTCCCGAAAATGAATATTGCGAAAGGAAGCGCGCAAAAACGATGGAGAGCTTTGTAAAAGAAAAGGTTCTACAATTTTGCTAACAATTTTGCCAAAATTTTCGTGAAACAAGAAATGCGAAAGTTCCCTATAACAGATTTTTTTGTGTGGAATTTTTTACTCTTTTTCTACGAGGGGAAAGAAAAAAGGAAAAATTTTCTGAGAAAAAATAAATTTTCGCATAAAGTGTGAAATTTTTCCGAAATGATTTCTCCATTTTGATAGAAGTCCTATCCGGATGGAGAGCTTTGTAAAAGAAATGTTCTAAAATTTTGCAAAAAATGCCAAAATTTTTGCGAAACAAGAAAAGTGAAAGTTTCCAATAAACCGAATTTTTTTGGGAAATTTTTGATATTTGTTCCTACAAATGGAGTGCAAGAGAGGCAAAATTTTCGGAGAAAAATAAATTTTCGCAAAAAATGGGACTTTGTTTTCGAAACGATTTCTCCAGTTTGCTAGAAGTCCTATCCAGATGCCAATGAGTCACTGATTTCAAATCTTTTTGTTTAGAGATTTTGACGCCGGTACGTCTGGTTTTGCTTCTGTGGGTACAGCATGTTGGGAAACAAAGAATTCAGGGTTCATCACTTTTATAAACTATGCCAGGTACAGTGCGTTGGGAAACCAAGAAATCAGAATTCATCACGTTTATAGACTATGCAAGGTACAGTGTGTTCACGAAACCTATAGTATTCAGGGTTCATCACTTTTATAACTATGCAAGGTGGGGGATTACAGAGTCAAGGATTCGGAATTTGGGAATAAGGATTAATGACTTGGGAATTAGAATTAGGGAATAAGGATTAATGACTTGGGAATTAGGATTAGGGAATAAGGATTGATGACTTGGGAATTAGGATTAGGGAATAAGGATTAATGACTTGGGAATTAGGATTAAAGAATAAGGATATATGACTTGGGAATTAGGACTAGGGAATAAGGATTAATGACTTGGGAATTAGGATTAGGGAATAAGGATTAATGACTTGGGAATTAGAATTAGGGAATAAGGATTAATAACTTGGGAATTAGGATTAGGGAATAAGGATCAATGACTTGGGAATAAGGATTAAGGAATAAGGATTAATGTCTCGGGAATTAGGATTAGGGAATAAGGATTAATGTCTCGGGAATTAGGATTAGGGAATAAGGATTAATGACTTGGGAATTTGAATTAGGGAATAAGGATTAATGTCTTGGGAATAAGAATTAGGGATCCGATAAAAAGGGTTAGGAATTAGGCACCAGGGAAAAGGCGAGGATAATTTGAACAATAAGTACTAAGTAGGGATGTACTAAAGATTTAATTTTTGTCTAACCCTCCAATAACTATTTAAATTTCTAGTATTGTGAAATAATTTTTTGTTCTGAATATACATGAATTCAGGCCCCGAGACCTAAATGATACAGTAGTAACACTTGCACACGAGTTTGGACATAGTTTGGGCTCAAAACACGACGAGGAGGTTAGTTTGTAAAACATGTTAACAAGTTTTTAAGATCTTTTAATTTCAAGTGACTTTTCATTGAAGGAGTGTCAAGCCCGATTCTTAATGGTATCTTTTAGACTTTCATATAAGATCAAGAATGTATGAGACATCCAGCCTTTTTAAAGGGACTGTTTTTAATCGAACATACCACTGTATACAGTCTCTTTAATCATTTATTGTTTAGTATGAGGATGAGGATTGCGACGACAACTTTATAATGTCGTCTTTTCTCAACCAAACTACGCCAGACGAGTTTAGTAACTGTAGTATCAGGTAAAAAATTAAACACTTGAATTGGAATTAGGTTTTTAGCTTCAAACTTGTGATCAATATTTGTTAAATGTGATGATTGTTAAGTATCAGTGACGTCATATGAGAGGTAATGTTGATCCGCTCTACTGCCCATCCGTCCTATTGCCCATCCGCTATACTGCCCATCTGACCTACTCCAACATCTGACCTACGACAGCTGTAGGTCGGATGGGCATATCTTCTTGCCCATCCGACCTATTCATGGCAGCTTGTCATGCCTATAGCTCAGTATATATGATAGAAATAATTAAATGTAGCTTTCGGATGGCCACTCAATTTTGTAGGTCAGATGGGCACTTTTTGGAGGTCGGATGGCATTTTTCGTAGGTCGGATGGGCACTTTTCGTACGTCGGATGGGCACTTTTCGTAGGTCGGATGGGCACTTTTTGTAGGTCGGATGGGCACTTTTCGTAGGGGGGCCGAGCGCTGCAGCCATGAAAGACCTTTAATTTTAACAATTTTTAATAAAATTAGTGTATATTTAAGGTTAGGTTAGGTTAAGCTCATTTCTGGGCCGAGCGCTGCGGCTAGGACGGCCCTAGAAACCAGAAGTCGTCCTTAGGACGTCATGACGACGTCAATAATTACCAATGGGACGTCCGGCGACGTCGTATTTTAGGTGTTGAGGACGTGTTGAGGACGTTTAACGCAAGGATTCTTACGTCCTCACAACCTAATTTTCGAAGTCGAAATGACGTCACTTTGGACGTCCAAATGACCAAACTTTTGACGTCCAAATGACCAAACTTTTGACGTCCAAATGACCAAACTTTTGACGTCCAAATGACCAAA